GTGTCAAAGTCTCTTGACACACTGACAAAAGTGTTGATTGCTGCAAAAAAATTGCTCCTTCAAAAGACCAAAAAGATCAGTTCTTGTTTCATTACCAACAGACTAATTTACAAAAGGTTCTATTTTGCTCAAAAATGTTGCATTTGAAAACTTTGAATTTTGTGCAAAAATGTAACTTTTTGTAAAAGAAAGTCCTAAACTGTGAAAAATGCACTAAAACCTAATCTCCCCTATCTCTTCAAAATTTCCCTTCTCTCTTGTGAGAATTTACACCTGTGTTCAGGAGAGGGGGCACACAGATCTAGGCACTTGGAGACCAGCTACTAATTGTACACTAAACTGGTGGTTATATGGAGCATGAGCAGTTCATAAGACATGCTCTTTTAAGACCCAGTTCCAAGATAAAAACAGCAGATGGAATAAGTTGTCGTCCCTGCTTTACACCCAGGCTGGGTCAGCCTTCTGTTTGGTACTCGAGCAGGGACCCAGTACCACAACTTCCCCTGTCTCTATTATTACAAATTCTTGCAGGGCATAAGAACAATATCAAGAATTAGTTCGAATGCCAGCATGACAACACCTGTTCTTTCTCTCTCTGTGTGTGTGAATTAGCCCTTAGCACAGGATAGACACAAATTCTGTACAGAAAAAACAAACACTTAGTCAATGCTTTTGTGAGGGGTTTGTTTTCTTTTGTTTTGATCCAAAATAAATTCAAATATGCCTACTTCCAGTTAAGATATTTGTGTGGGTTTTTCTTGGGGGGGGGGGTTTGGTGGTATGATACGTAAGACATGATATCAGCTGAAGCATTACTATTAAGGCAAGATTAAAACAGCTGTACATTATGCTAAAGCACTCACTGTTCCTTTACAGACAGAAGGTCCTGGATTACAAGCAGCACTTGACCACTTAAATTACTGCAAAAACCAGATTTAACCAGCTGGGCCATATTCTCCTAGGCAAGGCCTGCTGACCTCTCAAGTCACAGCTGCTCAAGTGAAATTCTCATTAGACAACTTATTCCAAAAGCCAAAGGACTCTGATTAAATATATTTATTTAGACACTTTAAAGTCTTTGAACCTGCAAATGCTAGTAGGTAAGATTCCAACCCTACATATAGTAAGGATGACATGAGATAGCTAATGACATGAAAAGTACATCTCCATGAAACATTTGACTCCACCGTGCTAGACACTGAGTGGTTTTCTCATCTCACAGGAGGGATGCCATATGTTTATTGAAGATAAACGACAATTGGACGTCTGTATTGGTCCACTGGAGACATGGGCAACTAGCTCAGCATCAAAGGCCACATCAAAAATATATTATAAGCCAGAAGGTCACTACGAATTTGCATATGCTCGTTGCAATAATTGCCTTCATTTCCATATCACTTTATGAATCTGGAAGATGCAATTTTGAAGTTAAATTTTATTACACTTATTCTACACTTTGGGCGTCCTGCAATTGGAAAATGAATGCCTTCTTCACCTTACTTGTAGAAGCCCACAAACAATTTCTGTTTTGAGAATTCAGGCTGGCCACCTATTCCACAGGTTAAACACTCAGTGAAACCAATTCCTTTCACAACCATGGGGGCCGATTCAGTTTGCCTAGTTAACCCTGTGATCACTGGCACTCTATATTCACTTTCTTTATTTTAACTACTCGGTAAATATCATAGCTAAGAAAACTTTCTTTCTTCATAAACAGGTTTTATGTATCCATCTACTATACTGATCCTTCTTCTTTGTCTTCTTCTCCTACCCTAAGTTGGTCTTTATTAGGGCCGTTCTGTTTTTTAATGTAGTAAACACTAATGTTATGTTGTATCTAAATCAGTCTAGTCTCTAAGGAGATTCAGCCCATACATTTTTCTCCTTCCTGCAATTTTAATTTTATTTTACACTCAACAGCTATAATAATCTGTATTTTTAGTTTCTCATTATGTGAGTGAAATGTTTTACCTTTCTGAACTCTATGTGTTTTTATGATTTCTTGACCACAGGGCAACCTCAACCAAAAACCTTGGCAAAGTGAGATTTGGAAAACTGCAAAAACAGAGCAGTTCTGGAAATATTCTTCATATCCATATTTGGGGCCTACACAGAGCCTTCATGCCATTATTTGCATGTTATAGAGTATAATATCATAAAAGGGGCAATATACACAATTATTTGCTCTCATTTCACAATAGCTGCCATTCAGCAATCAGCCACTTGAGTTCCCTCTCGCAAAAAAAACCTAACTCAGTGTGAACATAATTCAACAGGAATATGCAGCCAATATTCAAGTTATAGGCAGACAGCTACATATACAAATATATTAAACTGGCAGTTCCAGTTTCATCAATAAAAGCACCATTTTATCAGTTCACACACTTTTTGCCATCTTTTAGAGCAGGGGTGTCCAACTTTCACCTTCCCTGGGCCACATTAGAAGATGAAAATTTGGTTTGGGTCGCACATACATTTGGTTTGGGCCGCATGGGGGGCAGCCCTAGCCATCCTCCGCAGCCCCGCTCCAAGTGTGTTTACCGACAGCTGCGATCTCAGACAGCAGAGGCTGCCAGCTTCGACTCCGGCGGCTTTATGGGGCCGGGAGGGGTCCACCTATTGACGGGGACGGCACAACGCAGTCACGCAGCCCCCTGCCCCCTCCCCTCCCACTACTTCTTTCTTCCCTCTCTCCCCCTCTACTGTTATGACATGCCCCAGCCACATTCCGGTCGCAAGCGCCGGCAGTGTAACTTGAAACTTTGGAATTTCTTTAAAAATAAAAAATTGCACTGGGCCACATTACGAGCTCCCCTGGGCCGCATGCAGCCCTCGGGCCGCAGGTTGGACAAGCCTGTTTTAGAGTTTAGTGTTCAACTACAAAGTAGTTTAGAATTCTCTCACTTTCACCCTACTTGTGTACAAGAGTACCATATGCCAATGCCATACATGCCTACCAAAATGTAAGTTGAATGTAAGCCAACTAAGTGGGCATACATTCAAACCTTAAGTCAGCTACAGCATATGGAGGACTGACCCACATACAGTAACTAGTGGGGGGAGAGCAGTACTGACCGCTCTATTATTCACAAAAAGTGGACATTCAGCAAACCTTTTGCTATTCCCTCAGAACGTAATCTCACTCTCTCTTTTTTTTTGTCCAGATTCTTTCCACTAGAAGCAAATTTACAAAACAGAAGTAATGCTCACAAAGGAAATACAGATCATGCAAATATTTGTGGGAACGTTGTTCTTCATACAAAATACTCCTTAAACAAACCTTAACAAGTTTGCAGTATGTGCAACTTTTTAAATAAAATCCCTTAGTAAAAAAGATCAGCTCAAATTTAAATTTAAAATATTTTCCTACAATTTAGCCATCAAATTGATGCCAACAACTTGTTCTGTAAGAAAGAAAAAGTTTCAAAACTATAAGTTCAAAGACAGATGAATGTGAAAATCTGGAAACAACAACAAAAAACTGGGACAATCACTGTGGAAAAGCTTAAGACACCAAGAGAGAATATATTTAACTACATGTTTGCCATATAAAAACAAGTTAAAAATGGATGTAGAATCTGACATAGATCTGCGTATAGCTTGACCCCCTCACCCTCATTTTAAGACACAGTGCTCTATCTTTTCCACAATTGTAAAGTCTTTCAGTGTGAATGGGAAATACATGCCCTCTAGATGTTGCTGGATGATAGCTCTCCCTATCAACCTCTCTCCATGAGCTATTTTAGCAGGGCTGGAAAAAAATGCAGACCACTGGCATCTGGAGGATCATACATTTCACAGCCCTGTCCTAGATTTACGTTTGAAATTCTGGAACTGACATCTCCCTTTGCCTGTCATCGAAATCTATTAAGTCTCAGTCTATTGTCAGGATTTGGATTCACTAATGTCTGAAAAGTCTATTCTGTTCCCAATTCCACCATGTGAATGACACCTGTTGAAATTCAGAAGACTACAGAAGAGTAGCCACAATTTCTCACAGTTCCATATGCTTAAATCATACAAACATCACTGTGGGGGGGAAGGCTCCAAAGTTGTACAGTGCCCTTGCAATACTAGTAAAACATACCTATTTTCAACAGTTGTTGTTTAATGTACCAAATGCTTTACAACTTTAGCCTCTCTCCAGGGCATTTTGAGCTTCTGGAAGCACAGACCAACAGGCTCATGGCATCGTTTTAAAAAACAGTTCTCATACACCAGAGGGCACTTCCCAAAATGGGAAATCCCAAAGGCAATATCTGTTCTTCACTTGCATTCTTTCCCCAAGCCAGTCAGCCTTGGCCATGTGCCAAACTGAAGGGAAAGGATTAAGCACATTGAGGAACAAATTGAAACCAATGTCCTAGGCGACTTCTTGCACCATCCACAAAAGCACCAATGTGCCTTTTACTCTGTTTCCCTCAATTACAACCAGAATCTTGCTTGATTAATGAGCCAATACAACATGGACGTAGACCTTGCTTATGTAATCTATCTCATGTGTGGCAGGTACAAACAGGCACATATAATATAACATTGCGGGGGGGGCAGGTAGTTGTGTTAGTTTGTTGCAGCAAAAAACATATAGGAGTCATGAAGAACCTTAAAGAACAACAATATTTAGAATAAGCTTTAGTGTTACCAGAAGCCAGAATTGATTTGACAACACACAATTATTATTATTATT